GAACTTGTCAGCTATATAAAATCAGTTAGTTGTAATCGCAAAAGCTATAACTTCACTGAAGCCAAATTTGGTGAGATTTCACGCTCGTTGAACTTGGTGGACTGGGAATCTGCCTTGGGCATCGCCCAATTGTCAAACGCTTACGATACTTTTAGAGACGAACTAGTAGTGGCAATTGAAAGCTTCGTCCCTATGAAGTCGGTAAAAAATCTTTCCAAACCGGTCTGGTATAACTAGGCTTATAAACCTAAACAATAAAAAACCAAGGCATATAAGCGGTATCGCCAGTCGAGTAATAGCTTCCCTGCAAAAATCGCTACTACTCCATGCATGCGTGTAAGGAGTACTCCCTAAGGACCAAGGAGTACTCCAAAATTAACCACAATTCATATAAAAAATATGGTCCAATTAACATTGCGATGTCCTAGGGCAGGACCATATACTCCATCCCTGAATTACATCAGAGCAGCACAAAACTACTCCAACATATTAACAATGGCATTGTTGTTATATTTTTTCGTTTGTTCACGCTTTTGTTCTTCACTTCTCAAATGTTTTTCCGAATTTATTAAAAACCAAGACAAAAATTAAAAATTACATGTTGCCTCTGACGGTATTCGAACCCGAACATGCTTGGAGCTAAGAACTAACAGCGAGCATCTCTACACGTTCAGCTACAGCCAGACATGCAAATGTGCTTTCAAATGCTCAACTTCAATCACATTTCGTTAAAACACGAGCAGTGATCGGATAACAAACAATAAGCTGACGCATAGACACGAGTTGGTCCGCTACAGCATGACAGAGGAACACTTTTTTAAGTACTCCAATTTACCACAAATAGACTACATGGTCCCAGGATTTTTGCAGGGTTAGAGCTTTTTGAAACTTACAGGGTGTTACAAAAAGAGTTTGATGTTTAGCTGCACTTACTTCCACTGCAAATGATTTGGTGCACTTAAGCGAAATGTGCATCAAAGCAGAAAACAAAAACTGTGATTTGTTTTGTTTTAAATTTTAAAATTTGTTTGAATACTGTTTTTCCTGAATTTTTTTTAAGTATTTATTTTAGGCTTCTTTAACAATAGTCACTACAGGGGCATTATTATTTTGTTTTGGGCCTACATCGCCACTACTGATTTCAGATGAGGGTAATCTCACAGGTTCGCAAAAAGTCATATGTTGCAAGCAAAATTAGCCTTTAAAAAATTTGTGTGCTTGTAAGTGAAGTATTTTTCGTACAAATCGAAGAAAATTTATTCAAAAACAAGGCTGTTAAACGGAAAAGTGTTGCTAGGCGGAAATGCAGCTAAAAGTGAGAATTTCGTACAAAATGCATTTTATGAAGCAGTATTTTGGCAAAATTGTGCGGAAAATGCACCTAAGCGAATAGGCAGCTAAATGGAATATACTGTACTTGGAAAAAGATTGCTTTTCATTTCTTGCTAAGTATGTATGTACTGCAATGGTTGAATTTTTACTCTTTTCCTTAAATGAAAATAAATAACTACATACATAGACCTAAAGACTTGCACAAATTTCATATATGTATGTATATTTCCATTGAATGCAAGGTATAATAAGTTTTCTGAACTTCCCACTGAAAATAGGTAAACACCTAACGAGGTAAGCCATGTTTTCTTTCAGTTTTTAGTACCAAAATTGTCATCATGGCCAATGTCATCTACTAGTAAAGCGCAAAATGAACACCTCCGACGACACATTACGTTGTAAGTTGCAAAATAACGTGCAGCCGAAGTTATTTCCAAGCACCGAACTACTCCGAGCGACTGCTCTGCATTACACGTAACTTACTTCGTAAAGCGGCTCAGAAGTATGTCTGATACCAAATGTACATTTTAAATTCCTACTTACATAAGGCGGCCACGTCTTTGTTAAAGTAAGGGAGATTCGTCAGTGACGTGGTAAGGACAGCCGGGTGAAGTGTAAGTTGCTGGTAAGGTATTGTATTGGGGACGCTCCATCACGTCTGGATTTTTTTCTAACCTCAAAAAACATCTCGGATTTTACGTGACAGGGAACAAAGGAACCTTTCATCGATTTTTTTTTTTGTGGAGCTGTGTTATTAAAGAAATATCGAAATAAAACAACAAATTTTGTATACTTTTGAATACGGTTTCAGCGAGTGCGCTGTAAAGAGACAGGTATAAACGCTTGGAAGAAATATGTGTTGAGACTAATTGGTTTTTTGTTAATACGGTTCTTGCGTAGGTATAAACAAGGTATTAGTAATAAAGTAATAAGTCTTTCAGTAAATAACTTTCGATCTGCAATGCCGATTAACGTATAAATGTTAAGTAAAGTAAACTGAACAATGTACAGTTGTCCACAAAATAATAGGAGTGCGATATTTTGACCCGTTTTGGGTATTAGTCTTTTGTTTCTTTCATGTTTATTACTTTCTATAAAAGTCTAGCTGGCTGTACAACAAACCCCATATAAGGTTTGTTCCACAAGCTACTCGAAGTCACTACGGGTTACACATACGCGTTCCACAAGTAAGCTTTAGATTTTCTTTGATATACGCTCAGTTTGAACCATGATAAAAACATAACAAGGTAAAACCATTGAGAGGCAGTCTGACGTTTGCCAACAATATAATTTTTAAGTTTAGTCACAAACTCACACACACATTTTCATTTTCAATCTCAAGCAACAACAATTTCAATTTTTTATTTTCAATTTTGTATGATTTTAAAATGATGGCAAACTTAAAAAAAAAAAATCATGGCCGCCAAATTGAGAGAACGTTTCTACTTGCTATGCAAGGCGAATTTATATAAGGTGGAGTTGTTTCAGCAGCTGTGAGTAGCGTTTGATTGTCGAAATTTTGTATTTCGCTGGTGAGTGAGTGAAAACGTGAGAGCGTTTGTATTTTCTGTCGCCCTTTTTCCTTCGGGGAAGAATAGCTGAAACTTGACAATGGCCCGCTAAAAGCAAAAACAAAATACAAGTAATTGTTGTATTTGTTGAATCGATACCACCTTATATATATTCGCCTTGTTGCTTTGTTTTTATCATTTTAAAAACTCACACACACATTCTCATTTTCAATCTCAAACAACAACAATTGTGAGCAATTTAATTTTTTTATTTTCAATTTTATATGATTTTAAAATGTTGGCAAACGTCAGAAAAAAATCATGGCCGACGAATTGAGAGAATGAATTTACCTTGTAATGTTTTTATCATGGTTTGAACCATGATACAAATATTTAAAGGTAGTTTCACTTCTTATCCGCCATTGCTCCCATTTGACGTAAACTGTGCTTTTGACGTTTTCTTTTCAATTGAAGCTACCATATTCTTTGAAGAAACTAAAAAGTGGTTTTTTACTTAAACAAAATTCCAAAATTATTTCAAGAATATATTTTGAGCATCATTTTATTTCTAAAATTAATTATAAAACGGAAGGCTAGTAAAATACTCCTATTACATTGCGTAATGCACATGGATAATCTATTTGTTTATACAATTATTTTCGTCATTAGTACGATTAGCTGCATATTTCGGGATGGCCACGTGCATGGTAAATTCACCAAGGTGATGTGCCCAATCAAAGCGAAACGCTGCACCAGCAGCAGTAGAGCGAGTAGTTTATATGTAAATTTTCTTACCTCCCTCTAAGTTTATGCTTCCATAGTGCTTTAATTGACGATAAGCTACTTTTTAACTATTCCGTTGTTCATATGTCCTCTAAAAAGGATCCAAATTAAAGCAACATCCTAATATCTATAATAATATCTCATGGAACACTGCATATAATACCAATTTTTTTGCGGTAAGGTAATTTAAGGTATTTTAAATTAATACTCACTTATTAACAGCTATGCTAATACGATGAATTAAGTAAATTTACCTTGCGTGTTGTTATTTTTTAATGCATAAAAAATTCCTTTAAAAAATAATAAAATTTCCAAAACAATAATTTGTTGAGATGGCAGTGATACTCGAGCAATTTACGAAAAGTATAAACGTCATAAGCACATTTTATGTCAAAAAATTTCAAAGTTAAACTACCTTCTTTTTTTGTATCATGGTTTGAACTTTACTGGAGTTTTTCTACAAGTAGCTTGCGGAACAAACCTACAAATTCAGTTTTCAAACTTTGTACAAAAATTATAAAAATTTCACAAATTTTCACCCAAATTTCAAACTTTTTAATCAGAATCATCTTCAACAATTTTATTGAGCTTGAGGCCGTTTTTTTTTAATGAAAAAATGGACAATAATTTATAAATGGTAGAAGTGATAGCTACTTCGGAGATCACCACATCTCCTCATCAGACTTCTTCAGCGGGATTCGAACCGACGACCCCAGCTGACTCAGGGGGTTGCCTACGCACTGTGCTAAGTTCGCCTTATAATCAGATTCTTTAGAAAAAAATTTGGTATACAGTTTTGTAGCCAATTTAATTCTAGTATAATAAAGTGCAAGTTTCAAGTTGCTTGTTGTTGTTGTAGCGGCTACTAAACCCCGCTCGGGTCGGTCGGTTCATCCGTCAACGTTGTCGTCCGTTTTCTTGTTTTATGGAGGACACTGCTAACAAAAGAAGATTGCCAAAAATCAACGGAATTTTTTAGCAGCTTGAAACATGCACTTCATTATTCTAGAATTAAATGGGCTACAAAACTTCATACCAAACTTTTTTCTAAAGATTCTGATTAAGAAGTTTGAAATTTGGGTAAAAATTTGCGAAATTTTTATAATTCTTGTACAAAGTTTGAAATCTGAATTTATATGGTCTTTGTTGTATAACCAGCTAGACGTTTATAAGAAAATAATAAACATTAAATAAACAAAAGACAAATAGCCAAAACTGGTCAAAATATCGCACTCCTATTATTTTGTGGATGTATTGTATGTGTGTGTATGTATACAAACCAATTAAATTTTTTTTTGCATAACATGCTATTTAAACTAGATAGTTACTACAAATGTATTTGATTATATTATATCGCTTTTGTTTAATTTCCAGTGGAAGAATATATATCAGTTGCTAAAGAGAAATACGGTTATAACGGTGAACAGGCCCTAGGCATGTTGTTCTGGCATAAACATGATCTAGAACGCGCCGTAATGGATCTGGCTAATTTCACTCCCTTCCCCGATGAATGGACAGTGGAAGACAAAGTGTTATTTGAACAAGCATTTCAATTCCATGGAAAGAGCTTTCACCGCATTCGGCAAATGGTAAATATTATATTAGCCCTTTTTTGTACGCACTATCCAGTAAAAACTAGTATGCAAAAACATTCAAGGAACAGCAAAAGAGAAGAAATTGAAAGAGCAAAAAAGACAGCTGAACTTTTAAGTTTTACTGCATTTTTACTGGATAGTAGATAATTCTTTGCCAGTAAAGAAAAACAGCTGATCGCATAATGCTTAGTGCAATTCACACTAACAGCTCTATTCTGCGCTGGTAATAAAAAGTTTGTAACCGGTAAATAAAGTTCCTGTCAATTTTTAAACCCTTTTCGCATTCTGTGCACTCTTGCAACCGGTAAATTTTGTTACCATCTCATAAGCTGGTAACAAATTATTGCCCCGTGAAATATGCAATGCCAGGATTTGCACAATTGTTCATAGCTGAATTGCTGAATATTTTAACTGCATTACCAACGTACCTAGAATCGCGGTGACAAGAACTGGTAACATTTTTTGGTAATACAATTTTCCGGTTACAAAATCTTCGGTAACGTGTAGAATAGACATGTAATAAAATAATTGTTTGTGAAGCTTTTATAGTTGCGATTGACAAAATAAACATGTATTATAAGACATGATATTCTATTTTTCTTAGAAAATTGCTTGGGAAAATAATAAATTTATCAACTGTTCGTAAAACTTGCAACTTATTGCTTCTTTTGCGTTGAGCAAATATTATAATAAATTTGGATAGTGGGAAGTTACTGTATAGGTCTTTACTGGAAAGTACAAAAACACGACTATTCAGGGCTATCACAGAATTCATCGTAGTCCGATTTATCGTGAAATCTACGAAATGCCATTATTGAATTCGAATAGCTATGAACGTAGCGTATACTTTGAATACGCACATCGTAGCAATTAGGATTCTGTGATTGCCATTCTCTCATTTGCAATGCCCTATATATAAGTTTTAACTAAACATTTGTTTACAGTTGCCTGATAAATCGATAGCTAGTTTGGTGAAATACTACTACTCATGGAAAAAGACACGGCACAGACAAAGCGTAATGGACCGACAAGAAAAGGCAAAAGCAAGTAAAGAAGGTTCAGAAAATGGCAGTGAAAATGGTAGCAATGAAGAATCTGATACAGATGACAAGGTAATTATTAGTTAAAAGTAATCTTGTATTAGGCACGAGTCAAATTCAAATCGAAATTGGTTTCTCTAGTTTTACAGTGGCTTAACAATAAATTCAAATTTTTATATATAATTATAATTGAACACACTCATCCATAATCTACACAAATGTTAGTTATATTTATTTAGCAATAGTTTATTTTTTGCTTTTAATAAGAATTTTACTCTAACATTTATTTTTAATACTATTTATAAAATGTATTTGTATGACTATGATAAAGCATAATTTATCATGATCACTACAAGAAGAAGAGGCAATCGTAACATAATATCACATATTCACACTGAATCAGGGCGCTCGAAGCAGCTACACGGTGTTAACAGTTTTCCAAATTTTCAAGTCCACACAGCATCATTCTTAACATAGAAAGTGTTTGTTTATGTTGTTAATCCATGCGATATTAGCCACAAGATAAAGACAAAGATTAAAAAAATTAATGTCATGTAAAAAAAATGTATAGAGAGATTTCATGCGATGAACCGAAAGTATTTTACGTAAGGCTGTATCTTGTGGCTGAAGCATCATTGTCATCAAACACTCATAATTTTATCCTAGATATAGGTCGTAGTATGCATTATACTTAATTGTATGTATTTATTGTTAGTTAATTATAGCTATTAAGACTAAGATCGTATTCATAATGAAAGACTGTTTATAGACCTTCTACTAACAGTAAAATATAGTATGTAAATTATTATCAATAAACCATTTATTGTCTGCGAGAAGATTAAACAAAATTCATGTGTTTTTCATTTTCGAAGCTTTTTGCTCCTAATGTCCACATTGTTTTCATGAGTGCAAAACTTTTTGTTTACTTGAATGGCTTTGAACAGAAACTTCATTACTTTAGTTTCATGTCTTGAATGTAAAAATATGCTAAGCTTAAACACAAAATTTTTAATGTGCCGTTTTATTAACTAAGAACCTTTATGCAATTTCTTTGAAGCAAACATTCATAAATGTAATTCCTTTTTTTGGCAGTTTAGTATAACCCCAGCTTCATACTTTTAATTTCACGAAGTACTGTAAGTCATCCCTTTTGTGTGCATTCGAGACAGTTTTTATACTTAGTTGTTCCTGTCCCAAAATTGGACTATCGAACTTAATATAGTTTAAACCTCATTAATTATCTGTTCCCTGGTTTTAGTTTTTGTACTTTACGTTTAATTTTAATTCACATTTTTATATATGTATAACCATCATTCTCATTATTTGCATATCATTATTGTGAAAACATTTTTTCGGGGGCTCTTACGACTCAAATCCTGCAAAGTCTAAATATTTTTACTCGCCTCAATATCATTAAAAACCTCGGAGTAAATGAAAAGTTTTGGTGCTGTGTTTGGTTTTGAAGTATATATGTATATACATATATATTTATGAATGTATATCAAAATGTTGTTGGTCCGTTGACTGGTTGTTGTTGCGCGTGTCGCGTCATAAGTTAGCCAAGTCTGCTGCATTGGCTTCTTGTATTCGTACACATGCAATAATTTTGTTTGATAACTTCTTCAAGACGCTAGCAATTTGTTGTAGAATTTATAATGTGTTACACATTACTAGTTAAATAATAAACTATGCCAAAGTTAATCCGCCTAAACGTTCTCTATTTCTCTCTCTTTCCCCCTCTATCGCCCTCTATCGCCACACACACACTCGTGACACGCAAATTTCACCAACAACAATCCATCAATTCAATCAAAACCGCCTTTAGGATCAAGCATTGGCCTCAACTTCTGGGTTGCAAGATCAAACGAAAGTAGGCGGCAGCGGTATTGGCGGTGTAGGCGCATCTGCCGATTTACAAAACAAATCAAATAAGTCGAGCGAAGTCGGTGTTGCTGCAGGTGGCAGCAGCGGTCTCGGCGGCGAAGCTGACAGTGAGAACACAACTGCTTCTGGTTCGTTGAATGTAATCGCCACAGGACGCGACAGTGGTCTAGTTGCCAATGTTGGTGCCGTGTCAAGCGGTTTTAAACATCAGCGCCAACAGACGCCGCCCAACATGGCGAATACCGATTCGTCGTGTTCAAATGCGGACTCAACGGGCTTGAGCGGTTGTTGCACCAATTGTGGAGTTCCTTGCACTGTGCTTAACGCATCGCCGCACGGTAAACTATGTTCAAGTTGCCACCACCATTGGAGGTATAATTTTTGAATTCTCACACACGTTAAATTGAAAACGTAATAAATTGTTGTTATTATTTATTGTTATATATCTTCGCTTCATGAAAAATATCATAAAATGGCGTGATTCAGGCGTACCGGTAATAAGAGACCTACTTCTGGTCCATACTTTGGTAAGCGATCACGCGATCGCAATGCTGAAAGGCACAAGCGTAAACCACCGCGAGGCATGTATATTAATCACGATGATATTGTGGCACTGGCCAGAGCTAACGACAATCAAGACGAATTACTTGCCAATACAGACAGGGAAATCGTTTCATTATTGAGCCAAGTAAGGATTTGGATTTTGCAAACTTCATTTCATTTCAAGCTTCTTAGTTTCAAAAATCATTACTTATGCCGATTTTCCACTAGGCACTAAAATTACAAAAAATTGATGCCATTAAAAAATATCATGTGGAAATGAAGTTAATAACTATTTTTTGAACGAATTGATACGAGTATATTTTAATGTCCCAACTTTTGTCATTACAATTTTTGCCATTTAATGCCTAGTGGAAACCCAGCATTACATTGATTTAAGTGTATAACCTTCATCTGTTGCGTAGAATTGAAGATACATATACACGCATACATATGCATGTGTGCAGATACAATACATACCCACCAAAAAATTTGTGTCTTACTTAATATGATCGTAAGTCTTAACATTTAATGCATGAAACTTGTAAGGAATACAAGTTGTATGGCACAACCCTTATTTTACACCTGATTTCTCCGTATTGATGTCATTGGGAATAAGGTTTAACTTTTTCTCAGAGAGAATAAAAAAAAATAAAATTAAGTTTTGTGGTCCGTCTGATGAGAATTGAACCCGGAGGACAGTCATGGCAGCAATCGCTTGTATCAAGCATCTTTGCATACTCAGCTACAGCCATACATGTACATGTGCTTTCAAATGTTCAGTTTGAACCAACACCACATTCATTTCGCTGTGTTGATGTCATCATTTCATAATGTTTGCTCTCTCTCTCTGAGAGACCCTTATGCATAAGCATTATAGGTCATATAAAAAAAGGCTTTAATAATCCGAACGAACGAAAAATGACACTGAAGATGGCACAACGCCGAAACCGGTTTGTCTCCAAACCAAATTTGACAAGGGATGACGGCAAATCGTTCCACATAACATCGGAAACACCAACAACGAAAATGAGAACTTTAATAATCCCTTATAATAAGGCATCACTTGGAGTATATTTACCTTATATAAGGCTTATAGATCATGTAAAATAAATGCTGCAAGCAGCGCCGCTAACGAATTCCTTATTTCTTACAACTTATATCATTTTTTGGTGGGTAGTTAAATATCATAATAAAATAGACAGACGACAATGTTAATCCGGGTTAACGGTGCAATTGATCAGAGATAAATTGTATCCAGCCATATGGCAGAATTGCGTGTTAAGCAAGCCGCATATATTATTATTATTTTTTTTTAATGTGTTGATTGCGTTTTTATGTATATCTGTTTTGGGCTTTTTTAAATAAAACTAAATTAGAAAAATTAATTGCACAAAATAAAGTTAAAAAAGTGTTAAATTAAAATTAATAAATAATAAGATAAATAAAAATTTAATTCAAATGAAACAAAATAAAATTTAAATTAAATCAAAGAAAATAAAAGCTTTCAAGCAGCTAACAATTCGCAAATACTTTAAAAAAAAAAAACAAATGACAAAAAATTTATTTTTCACTTACATATGTGCAGCATTTTGAAAAAAAATATATATTGCAATCCGAGTTCCGATAGTTCGTTCATACAATTTTATTCGCAAAGTTGTCATTTCACCAAAAATGCCACTGCGATGTTTCATGAATCGCACCAAGGCCATATAAAGCCGCTTGAACATAATAATTCGGGCCCAAAATAAATCAAAGAAGGACCATTTCTATGAAGAAGAAACATTCATTACCATTTAAATTATATAGGTGTTTTTTCGCGACTATTTTTTTTCACTCCCACCTCGATATTTTGTGGGAAATGCCTAAAAATTACCCCTGAAAATTTGAGCCCATAAAATGCGAAAATTTCCCCTTTAACATTCACGTAAACTATGCTTTTTTCTTCAAAATTCTACAGCTCAGAGGCATTTTTTGGTATAATCTTGGTCAATGACATTCCAATTCTGCAAAGTTCCACCAAAGTTTCAAACTTGTATTCAGAATTCTTAAAAAAAATCGGCATTCTGTTTTGTAGCCCATTAAATTTTAGTACAATAATGTGCAAGTTTCAAGTTGGTGAAAAATGCCCTTGATTTTTGAAATTTGTTTCTGGCAGTGTCACGCATTTTCTTCCATACAAAGTACGTTCGAAAATTTTTTCCATACATACATACCCTAAACAAATTTTTTGTGACTCCTTCCGGGAGTCTTCTGTGACTCCTTAACATAATATGTAGTATTTATTCGTCTGAAACGCACCGGATCATTTAAGAAAAGTGTAGAGCCAAAAGTGAAAGAAACGCTGGAGCATCTGCTCTGCTTATGTACGGCTTACAAAATAGGAGGATTTACACAAAGCGTTAGCATTCTAAATGATGACTACTATACTTATGATTCGATCTTGTTGTTGTTGTTGTTGTTGTAGCAGCATACAAATTCCCCAAAGACTTTTTGAGGAGTGTTGCTGGAGTGACAGTCCTTGGCCAGATATAAATCTGGGTCGTTCCGGTTACGTAGACCCATCTTGTCGTGGTTCATCTGGTTCTGCTAGAAATCGAACGGTTGTTGTCTATACGTAGAGTAGCCAGCCGAATTACCCTAACCTAACCTAGGTCCCAAGAAGCAGTTTCAAAGCCAATGCTGCTAGTTCAGCGCACTTTAATAACATTTACTTTACTGCCTTGCCTAGATAAGTGCGTAAACGTAAAGTGATCTCCTTTAGTTAATATAACAGTTGGCCCACAAATCCAACGCTCCAGTGTTAAGCAGTGGCTGTTTAACATCATAAGGAATAGTATTGATTGCAGTAAATGACTTCGGATTCTATTATAAGAAAATTGTGTACCAAAATCTTGGACCAAAGCAATACCGTCACAGATTTAATTTGTATTGCTGAACGCTTTAAATTAATTTATGTTGTTGTTGTTGTAGCGGCTACAAAAACCCCGCCCAGATCGGTTAAAATCTCAGTCGTTGTCGTCAAGCTCCACTAACGGAAGCCCCAGGAAGCGTGCAGCCTCAATGGGGTCGGTCCACAGGGACAAAGGCTTTAGTGTTGTCGTGTTAAATTAATTTATCTCGTATTTCGGTGTAATACGTGGAAGTCAAAAGAGAGTCAATGGTGATTCATGAATCAGTCTTTCTGGCAATAAACTACAGAAATTGGCTTGAAAGATGACGATACTTAAAAGTCTATACTTGACGTGCTTAGATTTTCACTATTATATTTTTATATCACTTCAGTTGGCTATTTGACGATCTCTGCTTTGTTTGTACTTCGGCTAATCCAATTAAGGCATGCCTTAACTGCAGTTATTGTACAAGAAACTGCACACGTGAAATAAGTAATATTGGGAGTGTTCGCCCCACGGATTTATAGTTTTTTTCTCTTGGCGATACCAAACTTTAGAGAAAATTTCTGTTATAAAATCCAAAATCAATGTTATATTAAACATAAATAAAGTTTTTAGTAGTATGTTTCCCCTAATAAATCGCAGATGCTTTCATGCATCAAACTAAATTTATACACTTGCTCACGACATTATTTTCATCATTCACTTTCAATCATTTGGATACAGTGCATTGCAAACTTGTATTGCAATTGGATACATTTTCCTATCGCTTGATTTACAGGTTCAGCTAAATAAGCAAAATATATCCGCCCTAAAGCGTAAGAATTCCGAAGGATTAGATGATATGCGTCCAACTGAGAACTCCAATCGCATAAACTCACGTTGGTCCAACGATGAAGCTTTGCTGGTTGTGCAGGGAGTACGAAAATATGGCAAGGACTTCCAAGTAATTACAACATTCAATCAATCATAAGTTAATACTTTAATTTACCTAAAAAATTACTTACAGACAATAGCCGAAACGATTGGCACGAAGACAGAGGCTCACGTACGCACTTTCTTTGTTAGCAACCGTCGACGTTACAATCTAGATCAGGAACTAAAAAAGTATGAAGCAGAAAAAGAGGAAGCAGCTGTAGCTGCCAATGCTTCTGCAGCTGTAATTGAAACGACCAACGAAAACAAAAAGAAGGATGACTTGAAAAAGAGGGAAATCCCTGCGTCAACTGGTGGTGTGGTCGGTGGCGCTTCGTCTGTTGTTGGCGATGAATCGGATAATACAACCTCAAGTGAAACAACTGCATCAAAATCCATAAACGACGAAGCCAAGTGTAATAATAGCAATACCAATTTACAAAAGGACAACGTTATAATGGAGGTGAGAATTATTCAAATGTTTGAATGACACAATAGTAATGTACATGAATTATTTGCATTTCAGATTGACTTAGATGCTGATCAAACGGATATAGCACCACCAGCCAAAAAGTTCGCACTCCATGTTGGAGGGCAGGAGTTTCCCAAAGCGAGTGCAAACTAAGTCAATGATGATGGTTTTACGCAGTAGGAAGAGAGATCACAGAGAGGGAAAGCATTCTCTAATGCAAATCAGTGCAGGTGTTTGACACGCCTTAAAAACATATTTATATGCATACATATAACATATTACCTATTTGACGATCCATCCTGTTATCCTCATAGAACAAGACAGGAGATACTGGGGGCTCGGTATCGATATACACAATAACAGTTGTACTATTATAGAGGAGTAAAAGAAGAAAAACTGGCGGTTGGAAAAAATTGACACTTAACAAATTGTGGAGTTTTAAAATACAAGAAGCTTGTTTACTTGATAAGTAGTTTTAGTTTTTTTGACATATAAACCCAAAAACTCGATGAATGATATTGAGTTTATTTTTAAATAAATATCAGATTTTAAAGCAATAATGGCCCTATTATGAGTTGCATTCGATTTTCGATCTTCGCTGGCTATCGAAGAACGAAGATCGAAAGTGAAATTCGTATTATGAGCTATGCAAGCGTGTAGAAATTTTCGTTGAGTATCGAATTTTCTGTCGAACAGAATTTTGCTTTCGTTGGTGTAGCGAAATGTTAGAAAATTTTAAAAATGTACGATTTTGCATTTGTTTTCTTACTTTTTGGCGGCTAGACCCTAATTTTAAACAATTTGTATTAATTTCAAGCAGTTCTAACGTCGTGAATAGTAAACACAAGCTCGAAAGTCTGGTTTTACATATGAAAGAAAATCCCTATACTCCGTTGGCAGGATCTCTGAAAACAAAATCATGGAGCTATTTATAGTTTTAATATATTTTAAATAGATTTGGATCACAAAATTTCTTAAATATATTGTATGTCAAAATATATTCGAAAGACTGCACTTAAACTCTCACGTTTTCAGCTCCTGACCAGTTTTTTAAGCCCTCATCCTCTGACGAATCGTTCAACCAGAACTCCGTTGTGCTAATTAAAATTTTTTTTTACCACGCTTTTATAAACTCGCTTTCTTTTTTATTTCACTTTAATTTGCACAAATTTACATATCGTCGTCTCAGAAAACGGATGTCGAATGTTACAAAACACGGATTTGAGAAAATTGACTTTGAAGTTTAAGGTCGAATTAATCCGAAACTGTACGGTAGATTTTGTTATTAGTTTTGATTTTCCATATTTTTACATTTAATATCTCTTAACGTTTGAAGTTTAAGGTCGAATTAATCCGAAACTGTACGGTAGATTTTGTTATTAGTTTTGATTTTCCATATTTTTACATTTAATAGCTCTTAACGTTAATGAGAAAATTGACTTTTCATTCCAGATACCTTTGTCGTAAGTAGCGTTTACTCACCACTTTGTTTTGTCCATAGAACATACGACAATACTAAAGTATCTATTTCAACGACGATGGTATAATTTGATGAAAAACCAGACATATTTATTAAATAATGATTACTTATTAGAAAAAACATAACAAAAACATATTCATGTATTTAATAAAAAAATCTGTACATCTCTTATACTGTAAATATGTTACGAACATACGTTTTCTTATATAAAAACAAAAAACAATACTTAAATTCAGTCTTTTGTACATTTTTATTTCTTTCATTTCATTGGAGACTCAGTGCATGCTAAAATTTAAAAATTTAAAATTTTAAAATTAGTTACTTAGTTTAATTTCCAATTTTAATTGTGTCGTTCTAGTAGAGGACCATCGAATTGTCGTAAGTTCAAAGTTTTGCGATACATACGACAAATGTTTTATGATTAAAAAAGATTAAATTTCATATATGTAATACTTCTATATTGGTAGTAAGCTAACATCTCAATGTGTAAGCATTCCGAAATCAAAGCGAGACAGTCTAGTACTGTTTTTGTCAATGTATTGTGTACTTGAGTGCCGTTTTTGTAAATGTGTCGTGTACATGTTTATTTATAAACGTATGTGTTCCTTTTCTTTCGTACGTGTTTATTGATATATCTGTACTGTAGTGTTTTCGGACGGCACTAGCTCTTACTGCCAATATAGGAGTATTACATATATGTTAAATTTGTATGGGAATTTGTCGTATGTGCCACATTTTCAGCACATACAACAAAAGGCATACCCAATCATTAATATTATGTAACATACGACAAAATGCGCACGAAATATCTCAAAAACTGTTTTATGATTTAAAAAAAAGTACGTTTGTATGGGAATTTGTCGTATGTGACGCATTTTCAGCACATACAACAAAAGGCATACCCAATCATTAATATTATGTAACATACGACAAAATGCGCACGAAATATCTCAAAAACTAAGGGAGATATAAAAAAATGGACTGCAGAAATCAAAAGAGCATGTCCAACTTAGTAAATCTGCATCAAAATCCCAAAATCGTGATTTTGCACATTCGTCAACCGTTTTCTGAGGCGACGATATGTACATATGTATAAGCACACTATTTAGTTTGCTCGATCTGTAAACAAAGCTTCTCAGCGGTGAAAACTATACTATTTTGAACAACCTAAGCGAGCGAAATTCACAATAGCGCTATTCTTCATCGAATGAGCGCCATAATACCAAATGAAAATTCGTTCGATCAGCACTTTCGAAGATCGAATGCAACTCATAATAGGGGTCAATATCTTTGAATGCTTACGAATTGCTTGTAAATACGATTGAACTTTCAATACTTTTTATTTATAGTATATGTATGTATGTATATGCTGACACCATAATACCCCGCCATTTTGGGCGAAAGTTTATGTTTCATGAATTATATTTACCAATGAAATTTAAGAAAATAATAGATTTATTAGCTTACCGCTTGACTAATATGTATATAATTATTTCAACAAGCAATATGGATTGCAGTTAATTATCTCTTGAGTACTTTAGATGTACCGTGTGTCATAAATTATTTCTACAAACAAGTTTTATTGTGTGCTACTTGCAAGTGTACTACAAATAAAATATGTTTAATTAAAAAACCAACTTCTTCTTGTTTATGTTGTTGACGGTGTCTACTGGGGAATGGTTGTAAATTAACCCCACAGGAAAATTTACTAGTCTTAGGGCCAGTTTAAACTAGCAAACGCAGCTTAAAGCTTAAACAGACGGCAACGTTGATCCGGATTAACTCGGACTTAATCCGGACCAACTGCAGTTAATTCCCGAGTTGATCCGGATCAACGCTGCCGTCTGTTTATGCTTTTACGTGATCTAAGTTTAAACTTGCACTGAAAAACTGGCCCTTAAAGGGGTGGTTCTAATTATCATGAAATTACATTTAACAATTTTGAAACGTTGCTGTAGCATTAAGCGTCAGACCCCCAGTGGTCCTATTAGGGATGCACATTTTAGGGAGTAACATCGATACATCGATGTTTCGATGCATCGGAAAAATGAACATCGATGCTAAAATACATCGCCAGAAAAACATCGATATATCGATGGTTTCCGATGTTTCAAAATTTGTTAGGTTTTAGTCACATTAAAAGGAAAATTTAATACTTTTCAATTACAACTGACTGTAATTCAATTAGAAAAATACTTACATATGGTTGTATTTCCCTGTACCATTCCTTACCCTTCCTATAAATATAATAAAAATGCATGTCGTAAGTAAACATTTTTAATATCGAAAGATAAGAGTACACTCGGAATTTCTGAATTTTCCCCAAAAGAATAAGTTATAAAATTCATGGCCAGTCAAAAAATTTTTGGAGCAATGAGTAGTTGAATTCAAGTCTGAGTCACACTTAAGTCGATGTTAAACCATCGCTGAAACTGTCATCGATGTATCGTCAATTTTGCGATTTTAGGAAATTGTAAACATCGATGGCAAACATCGAATTTTGAACCGATATTATCGATGTTTTAAAAAACGACAGCCGGTTCTACGTACCGGAATGACTCGGGTTTTACCCGACCAAGGGCTGTTGTTTCGGCGATCTAACCCCGTTTAGGTCGGCGGAGTATCTCAGAAGTTGCTCGTCCATAGGGCTACATTCACTACGTATTCTTCTACTCAGGGCTGGCATCGAGTCAAACCCAGGGCCTGAAATCTACACCTGCTGTGTATGCCGGAGACGACTACACCACAACTCCACCTCAGTCAAGTGTAATGCCTGCGAGGGGTGGAGTCACCTTAGAGTCTGCTCAGGACTACGGACACATCGACAGTGGACCACGTCGTACGTGGCCCCCTGTTGCTCAAACAGAGCAGCCTCCACGGCTAACCTCAGTCCACCTGAGCAGCCTCGCACAGTCACCACAGCCAACAACATAATAACACCACAGACCATACCACAGCCACGACAGACCACATAACACACACAACCGCACCACTACCCACACGCCGCCCCCAACAACACCTGGTTCATCCTACAATCTGCACGGTATGTCAGACCAGGATATTCCGTAATGCGACATCAGTCAAGTGCAACACCTGCCTTGGCTGGTGCCACTTTAGGGCATGCTCAGGTCTGCGTACTACGCGAGATTGGACGGGGAACTTCGAGGGCCCGTGTTGCGCTGCTCGGTCGCAGACCTCAACTGCGACGCCTCCCGCCACCACCACAGGGCGGCAACCATCACAGCAGCGCACACAGCCAACGGCGGTAAGAACACGCACACATCCCTTACACCCCACATCACGACACGTCTCCCGAACCACATGAAGCTCCTTCAATTTAACTGCAACGGGCTACAGAGCAAGATTGAGGAGATAACCGT